ATATATGCGATACGTAACGCTCGAGTATTATCCGAATACCGTTTTGTCGATCGACAAGTTTCCACATGTAACATGTGAATTCCATAGGACTTCCTATATCGCTCCATCGTCTCCGCGTTCTTGTGTAAATTAAACGCAACAATTCGCAGATATTCTGACGCGTAAGATAACTCGTAACGATTGTATCGATGGTATCAATTACAAGAATACCGCTGCGAAGCTCGGTCCGCTCGTCGCCGATCGACTCCTTCCCAGAAGGTAACCTACCGCGATTATCTTTAATGGCAAACACCTTGACGGTATGCCAAGCCGAGCGAGATCAACCGCGGTGAGATCGAGACCTCCGAGACAAGCGCGGCACGGTTGATCGCGAGACGCGATTCTTGAAAATCGCAAAGGCGGGGACTTAAATCGGTAGAATTTATCGGAGAGTTTTCTGTTAGGATCACAGAAATTTTATTTCGTGTCTATCCTTCTATTGAATTTATATCCGTACTTCTATCTTGTACACCTCCATCTGGCTTACACCCTTATCTCGCTTACATCAACCGTTTCCGGTTTGGATTACAAAGAGAACTCATTAAAATCGATAGATAGATGTAGATATTTCCGTGACCGGTTCCGCGAAAATCATGTTATATTAAATTCTTAATGAAAGATTCTTAAAATAACCTTCCGCGAATGTGCAACTGGAAAGAGAGCGGGGGCAGAGGAAAGAGAGAGAGAGAGAGAGAGAGAGAGAGAGAGAGAGACGAAGTGAGACGCTCAGCCAATAAATTCCACCGATTCCAGCCGATTATTAAATAGATTCTGTGCCCAGCTTCTAATATACCGATGAATCTCCGAATACGCCCTAAATTCGTTTCATCCGAAAAAACATAGCTAATATCAAAAGCAAAACGCAAATAAAAATGGATACGACATAAAATATGCAATATTTATGAAAAGTAAGTTTATCGAAATCAAAAACTTGTCTACATGTAGTTGATAAACTGACCGATTATAAATTATAATTACGCAAATAATGATCGTGAGTTTAACGCGCTGCTGACACATACATAAAATTATATCTATCAATATAAATAAAATTGTTAAAAAAAAATTAAACATTCGAGACATCGAGCATCTTACTCGTTCCCACATTCAACAGTCTTAACGGAACTGTAAAATCGTCAATGTGTAATAAAACGTATTTTCTTACCGTGAAAGAATATCGTTTTGTGTTTGTAAGCGTTCCCTTCCCTCGTATACGCATGCAGAAGGTGACCATTCGTAACTAAAAAAAAAAGAAAGAGAGAGAGAGAGAGAGAGAAAAATTGCGACGCGACATTTCGTCACGATTGGATCTCCACGCCGCCTATCGCGATTTTCACGTTCGTACGCGAATACGACGGCTCGTCGGAATTTCTCGGTTACATCATCAGGAGTTTTTGCGGCGCCGCGCACACCGATACGTATGCACATACGCGCGCTCGCACGCCGCCTATGTCCTACAAGTCCGCTGGACAAAGTTGTGGCCGGTATCAATTGGCCGTGCTCTCCGTGTTGTATACCGGTCGACCTTCTGAAGTTGCAACACGAGACCTGACACAGATAGGAGAGACTGCGCCGCCGTTGCGCCCGCTGCAGCAATACACACGGCGAGCCAGTCGGCTCAGGCATCGCTCGGGCTAACGCAGAGGCATGCCTTGCGAAACTGCCGGCAGGCCGCTCGGCCGTTCGTTTCAACGGGGAAAAACCCGTTAATTTCGTCGGGATAAAATCAATCAAAGCGAGATAGAATCGCGCCGCTAGAGTTCTAGAAGATCGCCTCGACTCGCTGCTAGTCGAGGATCGATTAGAACGCGGAGCGCGAAGCGATGCCATATCACGGAGCGCGGAGAATGCTTCATGCTGCTCTTTTCGATGAAAAACGACCCGACCATATAGAGGTGAGGTCCTCTGCCCGTCGAGCCTCGGCCTTATTCCCGTCAAAACGACCCTGACCACTCGTTCTCGGCCAGTGGCGTAAAAAGACGACGATCTTTTTGGGAACGAGCCATACAGAAAATCACTTTGTATGACACAAATAGGATAATATTTTTTTATATATTTCGGAAAAAATATTAACAAATAAATATAAATATAATTTATTATATTATCGTGCAGTGCTGCGCGGCGAAAGTAGAAGATTATGGAAAAGGTGATGATTTCGCAGATTAATTCTCCGTTATAACGATCATTATATACGCACTTATCACGTTTACGCGTATTACGAAGGAGTTATATCAGAGAACTTTTTTTCGACATGTGATTAATAATTTTTTAACACATACATAAAGATATAATCGCGTTTCCGCGCACCTCTCGCCCGGTCGACGATCTATCTTATTTCACGGGCTATGTTTAGAAATCATTATACATGGCGTGGTGAAATGAGCCAAAGACTGTCCGCATTGATCGTGAAAGGGTTAAGAGGCGACGCTCGTTTAAGCTACTGATTCGAGATTCTCGACGCGCGTCACCTTCGCAACGCGGCATAACGCCGAGGCGTAAGCAATTTGCGTTTCGACGAATCGCGAGCCGGCTCTTGATCTGGGACAATAAAGTCCACGGTCTTTTCGTGGGTGTATGGTAACACGAACAGCCTTCGATAGCTTCTTCTTGATCGTACGTTTTATACGTCGCGACGCAATGTAATAAAAACGTAATTCTACTATGTAATTTTTCATTTCTGTATCAGTTGGAATATATGAAATCTAAATAAACAACTGTTAAGAAAATATTAGCATCAAGAAAAAAAAAGTTACTAACTTTAATTGATAAAATATCTCATGTTATAATTACATAATAATTAAATATGGACAGAGATGGACCAATTTTCCTGCAAAGAACATCATTATATTAAACTATTTTACTATAAGAATGATAATGAATTTTTCATGGTGACAATTTTACGTTGCATATTTATTACATAAACTTTGACCTAATCGAGAAGGAATTTGCTCAAATATCTTTTATGTTAATATAATCTAAAAAAATACTTTTGCAAAAATGACATAAACGCTGCATCGCAAGAACTAAATAAGGCCGCAAGTATCTGGGCCAGTGTAACGATGCGGTTACGCCGCGGCTGCGTTCACGCGGTATTATCATAACGGGCAGTTGCGGAAAATGAGTTTCGCGAACTTTTAAACGCGTCGCGAGAGTTTTGTCCCGTTCGCCTTCGTATCGCGCAACCCAGGGCGAAACCGTTCGACCACTACAGCACGACTCAAGTGGAAAATGCTTCGATGTCTAACGGTGGCTTTCTATCTGTTGCAGGAGAACATCTCGACCCCGGAGCCCACCGATATATCCGAGGATGATCACTATCCAAGTGAGTAAAACCTTTCATTATCTCTCCCGTAACGTAAACCTTATAGCCGAGCCCCTTATAGTCGGTGTCGGAGGTAGTCCCCCTCCGGACCCTCCCCCACCCGAGGATTACGAGATCGCACAGTTCTTACGAAATGGAGGTGCAGAGGCGTATACCTGCCGCGTACGTGCGTGCGTGCGTGCGCTAGCTTCACGTTGATTCACGAGCCAACTCGAAGGCATTTCTCGCGGTGGAGGAATCGTCCCTCATTTTCGCGTATCTCCTCGTCGTCGCCGGGATCAGGTCGCAAACCGTTTCGGGGAAATTTCTATGACCCGAATTCTATGACAGCGTCGCACGTTTTTACATTATTGAACCGCGTCCTGAATGATTTAAACGTCACTCCGGTCTCGTTGCCGGCGCGCGGCCGGTTCTCCGCGTCTCACCCTTTCTCTTTTCCCCTCTGCCATCCCTCCCGCCCTGCCGCGGGCTCGTTCGCCGGCTAATAAATCTCTGGCTCTCGTCATCGCGCGACCGAAGCGCCCCCCCCGTCCGCCGTGTGTCATCGCTAATTCCGCCCGCTCGGACGAACAAACGGGACCGCGCCCGCGCGATACGCTAGAAAATCTGTGGATTGTCCCTTTGAATTCTCCGGTCCGATTACGTGCGGTTCCGCGCCGGCGGGAACTACGCGGACGGCGTTATTTCAGCCGTTCCCGCGGAATTTGCACGAATTAATAGTAAGCTCGTTCGTACACTTCGCCCACCGCCGCCGCTGCAGCTACACATTATTATAATAAACTGAATTAGCCAGATTGACAGATCGAATTTCGTCCGCAACGTATTTCAATGATAATTCTAAGCACACATAAGATTTCGGAACGGGCGTTAATAAAAAGGAGGAATCATAATTTCTATTTCTTTTTTTATTTATATATAAATTTCAAACGTGCGTTTATAAAGCGGATAAGAGATGTAAATTGATAAATTGTTATTAAACATTGCGCATTATTGAATTATCGAAAAGTCTAAAACTGAATTATTTAGGATAGATTAAATTTAGGAAAGATTAAAGGTTTCCACGAAATGGCACACTTATTGAATCGGATATTCTTCGAACATTTTCCGGTAAATCCTTACAGGATCCCAGATAGTAATAAATCAAGACAGGATAATCTAAGGGTTAATATCGGTTATTCGATTTCGATGTACATTTCGCGGCAGCTCACGTGGCACGGATCGATATAACGAATTAGTATCGTCGAACGCGTTACTTGGCATCGTGCATTCGATTACGGTTTCATGACGTAGAGGAACGGTTCATCTTTGGAGAGAAACGGACGTGTACGTTACATATACTATATGCGGTCAGATAAAAAAAGAAAGGATCAATGATTTCGCGAAAGGAGCAAAAGAGATACACATATGTGATGCATACGTAAACATCGATCCGAATGTTCGAACGGCTTGCGTGTATCCAAATTCTTTTTACCGAAGCCTTCTTTAAAGCTAAAGATTTAAGTGTTACTTAGTTAAAGTGTCGTTCGCGAAATAAATCGAAGGTCTCTTTCATCACGACGCGACGATAAGCTATGATAAAAAAAAGTTAAAAGTCAAAATTATTATGAAATGATAATATCAAGTTTGTCATGTAAACTTTTTTTTTATATTCCGTAACGAAGGAAAAATTTCATGAAGAAACATCTTTCCGTGTTATTTATACATTTCGGATAGATATTTCGTAAACCTTTTTCAATCACGTTTTTCACGCGAATTGAATGCGATCATATATTTAGCGAGTTGCATTTGATAACTTTCATTAGATAACTATTTTTCCGATAAGCAACGAGTTGTAAACTGCAAAATAACTGAATTTGTTGATTAATCTTTCCAATGGCCACTTGTAAATTCAGAAACTTTGTTTGTACTTCGATAAATTTATTTCGCATTATACATGTGAAGAGATAAATTTGCCATATTTGTAATAAATCAGTCTTAGAGAAATCAGTTTTAGACTTATCAGAATCAAACTTCAAAGATAAACATCGATATTATCGGCAAACAGATCCGTGTCGTTACATTACTCAATATATTCGCGACGGCCTTCGATCTAACGGCAATTTCGGGAACTATCGCTATCGGAGTCTTATTTTTTTCTTTGCGAATTACGCGAATCGCGTTGTTTACTCGTCGACGCATTCAGTCGGCGCATCGAGCGCTGGATCGGCGAATTCGAAAAGGTATACGTCATCGCTCGCTCTAGGAGTATCAGTTCGGTCGGTGCATCAAGACGACGAGTCATGACTGAGACTGGATCTCGCCAGGCATCTCGGTAGCTTCGCTGGATATCTCAGAGCGACTCGTGTCGACAGGACGTCGTTAATCGCGCCGTCGAATTCTACCACGGCGCTGATCAATAATACAACCGATATCCCTCTCGGCCGCCTCGATCGCACTCGAGGATAAATCAAACGACGCGCACTTCGGTGAGTGGTTAATCGTGGACTCACTTGCTCGCGGGAGCTTAATCCTCCGTGGCTGCGGGGTTGGTTGGTTTTTGTCGGAGCCCGTGTAAATTACCCGATCGATTAATAATCATAACCGGCGCACGGCCTGCCGCCAGCTGCGACGGTCGAGCTATGTGGCCGGCCGATTTATCAGTTTCGGGTAATTAAACCTGTTGCATTATTAAGCGGCTCGATTAAATCGAGTCGACGACGACGTCGCTGTTGTTTTGTAAGTTTTAATTTATTCGAGCGATTCGCGATTCCGCCTGCCCGGAGTCGCTCAGCTCGCGCGAGCTCAGGTAGCTGATAAGCGATAGCAGCCTCCGGCGTTCCGAGGCTATCCACCGGAGGTAGATGACGAATGTCGCGACTCGTTTGCGATATAAGACTCGTGTCCGGACGTATGACTCCGCTCTCTGGCGTACGAGGACAAGGACTCCCGTTTGCGAGAAAGAGAGCCCCGCGGTTACGCGCGCCCTGCACCGTGTACGCGCGCGGCGCGCTACCATCCGTTTGCATAATGATTTCTTAACTTGTTTCAAGCCAATTGGCACTTTCAGTTTCGGCAGGCGCGCTCATGAAAGATCCTGACAAGCTGAAGCTGATGTTGCTCGCGTGGAATTATAATCTTCAAGCGCAGGCGGCGCAGGCAGCCAACGCCGCTCTATCGCCAAATAACTCGTCGACTACCACGGCTACCACTGTTGGCACACCAGTCACCAGCCAATCGGCCATTTCCACGGCAAACAACACCATTAACAACTCCACACTCACAGGTAACACCTTATTTCATCAGGCGACATGCGGCGTTTTCGAACGCGATGTCCCAAGTCATCGAATGATATTCGTGAATTGCGTGCGGAACGTTAGAAATGAATAGCAATGTTTCAGGCTCTTCTTATAAATTAATTTTATGACTTTTAACAAGTAGGTACATGCAGCGAAAGAAAAAAAATTTCACTCTGAAATGCATAAAAGCGATGAACTGAAGATTACATTAGATGAATCCTTTTGATACAGCATTCTGTAATAATGGAATAAACTTTTCGAAACCATTTTTTTTTCTATTCTCGTAGTTTTTGCAACTTCTTACTACGAAACTGTAATTCTCGAGTTTAATGTCACTGTTTTCAACGATGAGAATTAATCGAGATCGGTGGCACTAAACAATCTCGACCACAACCTGCGCGACGTCTGGTTTGCGAACGTCACGAGAGAAAAAAAATCCGCCTCGCGAAATCGACAGGCGAGACGTTTAACGGAATCCATTACGGGACGAAAGATGTCTAGACGTCTCTTTTCTTCTTTCTTCCTCGTTGCTAAAGGACTCGACGAAGTTACGTACGCCAACGTCCCATTGATGTCGCCCAGACTGACGAAATCCCACTTATGAAAAGAACCTTGCTCCGCCTGGCGTAAGCGCGACCGGGGGCTTTAATGTTCAAGTTTTCCGTCCTTCTCGCGCGTATGACTCGCGGCGCGGCGCGGCTCGGCGGCTCGGCTCGGCGGAGTGAATTGCAGGTTTCGCGGGGCCAAGGTGTACCGGCCATTTAGCTCGTAAAGTTTTGTCGTCGTGCGCGACGTGACTAATGGATCGCCGAGCTAGGACGTACCCCGTGGCGTAGAAAGAGAAATTCGACGCGCGTCCCACTCGCCTGCGTGTGTGTACGTGTGTGCGCGCGCGCGCGCGCGCGCGTCTACACGTCTCTCTCCTCGTTGTCCCATACCCACGCGTTCCGGTGAAATCCACATCGGGATGAGAATCGCGGGGGTGAGACACGTCGTGAATCCTCGTGCTTTCCCCCGCCGGGCGATGAATCGGTGCGGGCGGAAAGCCGTACGCGAGAGATGCGGAATGCAATCGATATACCTTCGAGTATCAATGCCTCTCTCGTGGCATGCAGTCTTGTACAATACGTCATTCTCTTTCATTATACCTTACGTAACCGTCGTGGAAAATGCATTCTTTTGCGTCATTACATTGTGATTTGTTCGAAGTTTGCGTCCGTTAAAAATTTGATAATTTTAAATTGATCATTAGATTTCTTATATACTTTTGTTAAACTTTTTATAGTCTGCTTTTTCTTAAAACTTTAAAAAGAGAGAGAGAAAGAGAGAGAGGAAAATAGAAAAAACATGTGTCGATACCTTTATAATATTAAAATACTGGTTGCATTTCCGATTAGCTGGAAGAAGAGAGAAGGTCTGCGTCCAAGACGTACTTTGATACCTCGCGCTCAAGCGACCTGGTTGAATATAAAGTCGAGTCATGTGAATGGGAGCGATGGGTGTAATGCGGTAATTGTGCCGGCCGATGGACATTGAAAGTTGAATATCGAAAATCGCAGAGTGGGCGTGCGGAAAGGCCATTAGTCGCACTATTACAATATTGCAAGTGGGTCTCTTAAAATGATTTTGAATTATAGCCCGTACGCCGCTTTGTTAATGCTTATTCGAGTAAAAATACTTATTTTTTCAACGCAAGAAATAATGTAAATTCTTTCCATTATGTAAAAATATCGAGTATATATATATACGAATATATATTATTAGCGCATCTAATTTATAATTAAAGATTGCATGAAATTTTTTATTAAAAACGATTATCTTTCTGTAAAATTCGATTTTTAATTAAAATTTTAAAAATCAAATCATAAATTCGCATTGTTTAAATAGGAAGATTCATTTTTTTTTTCATGAGATATCAAGATTAGTGTTTTGCAAATAGCTATAACAAAAAATTGCCCCATTATCTCGTCAAATCAACATCTTTTTTCGCTAGTTAAGTCGTGTCACACGTATGTGAATCATCAGCGAAAGAAATATGCGCGTTAATTGCCACGTACGTCCTAATGTCGCGATAATCGCGCTGCAATCTTCAAGGCGCCGAACGTTTCCGCGCGGTACTGCATACTCGCGGGACTCGCCTCTTGTTCAGTTAGGCCAGGTTGCGGAAGGATAATTCACCATGCCCCTCCGTCCCGGTACGCTTCTTCCACCTATCCTCCCTGACAGCTATTTGAAACTGGTTTTGAAGCGGGCCTCTATATCTCGGACGTAGTCATTGCGTAATGAACCCGCCATCGGCCGAAGAGAAGAGTAGATATATAGATATATATACACATACATATGTGCACACACACACACACACACACGCGCGCGCGCGCGCGCGCGCATTCACTGCACAGTAGATAGATCTCTCTTCTCTCTCGTCGCACCATTCCTCTCTCCCTCCTTCCCACGTGATGACCAGCGCAGATTCCACATCTCGCGCGGAGGACTTCTCTCACCGGAGTCCATCCGCTTCGTAGGCATACGTTTCGCAAATCGATTTCTCGACAGAGCCGCTTCTTCTGCCGCGCCATCACGAGCGGCAAAAGCGACAGAAATTGTCGGCTTGCCGATCGCGAGTTGCGAGCACGCGATTCAATTCGATCCCGACCTTCCGATGGCAATAGTCATCTCGTATTGAGGAATTTACGTTTTTAACCGAAGATTCATAATCGCTCGCTTATTTTGATCCTATTTCGATCTGATATCTACACTATCGTCCGTAATTTCTCAGATATCTTTAAAACTAAAATGAAATAAAATTGTAAGTTTTTCAAGCGGCATATCAATCTATGACACATTTTCGTTATTTTATAGTACAAAAAAAGATCAAATTATTATAATTATATTTCTAAAATAAAAAAAATTATGCAAGAATCTGTTCTTTAAAGAACATTTAAGAAGTATGAATGGTAGTGCATATTAGAACTTACCACAAATATACATATTAAATTAATAAATTGTTTTTTTTTATTTCAAGAATATTAAACATTTCTAGTATCGATGTAGACAATTTTTCTTTCAAGTTGTCAAGATACTTATCCAAAAAGGTTCTATTGTTGTAAATTAATCGCTTGATAAAATTACTTTATCTACTTGTATATTTTGGTAAAAAAAGGAACACAGTGATAATCGCGAGGACATCTTAGCTTCTCATCTCCTAATGCACTCCGCGGTAGAGTCGGCGGTGTAATATTTATAATTTACAACGGACGCAACTTTCCCCAACGGGTGCGTACGCCGAGATTATACTTGTGATATCACAAAATCACAATGTCTTAAGTACGACTGTTTCCGGATCTACTCCAAGTAATGAGACAATCATATAATATTAGTCTTGGGCACTTATCCTTAAAGATCGTCTTCTCGATAATAAACGCTCCGTTTCAATCATGCCCAACGTTAAATTGCGTTCAACGTACACGGGACATACGTCATTGTTACTACTGTATCTGTTCTCATATAAAAAAGTAAACGAACGAAGTAAAAAACGAAATTCAACCTCTAGAAAACGGAAACTTGAAACAGCCGTTTAAAAGATATCAGAAACGAGCACTACATTTTAGTGAAATAAGGAATTAATTTAAAATAAAGAATATTGCGAAGACAATATCATATGAATCATTTAAAATATAGTTAAATTGAAAACTATCGAATTTTCTTTCACGTCGACGCGAGTACGTGCATACATACGTGCCGTCACGTGCAACGTTCTACTATGGTCAGTGACATTTATGAGGAACAAGATAATACGTCTTCGTCCATCCTCGCGATTGCACGTTACCATCTTGAGCGGTAGACAGTTTCATACCTAGCCCGAAGTACCGTGGGCGTACGTGGCTTGTCTGCGAATTTTGCAGCGCGCTAGGCTCGCTCGAGCACATGCGCGCGCGCGCGCACACACGCACACTCGCCTAGAAAAAGAGGAAGTGCCCGGTGTGGTCGTAGGGGCCGGGGTATTAGTTTCCCTTTGCGGGAACGCGAGGTCGAGGAAACGAGGCAGGAGGAGGACGAACTGCCGGGTGGGGCGTCGGACAACGTCGCCGCCGACGTCGACTGATTTCAGGTTCAGGCCAAGAGGCAAGCTCGGGAACGGCGCTAGGCGGAGTAGAATTGGAATTGGTAACCGGCTTTCTAGCCTGTGCGGGCAGTCTAGCCCAGCGTCCAGCTTCGTTTATGTGCGTGCTGATCCCTACCTTCTACGACTACGACTACTCTCCGGCGATACCCGGCGTACGCTCGCCGCAGGCCGAGAACCCTCTCTCACCGCAGCATGCAATGCCGTACCCTCCTAGAGAGAACATTGCACACACGTAAACACATACACACATACACGCACATACGTATACATATACATGCGGACGTCACGTACGTGCACGTGATTTTTTTTCTCCGTGCCGCACGTGTACCGCATGCGTGTGCGTGTGAGAATCGAAGTGCAGCAACCTCCAGAGCCGGTGAGACCGCGAGAGTAAAAGAAAGACGGGGAAGGAAAGAGGGAGAGGCGAGGAGAAAAGAGGAAAGAAACGCATGGCGTAGCCTCCGCAAGTACGAGGGTCCAGTTTCCTGGGTCGCCCGCTCGCGCGTTCAGTTACTGGTTCTACCGGAATCCTCCTAGAAAGATGCGTTGCGATCGTTGAACAACCCGAGGAATCAGGATCGCCTGTTCGAGCACCCGAGATAGCCGCGGCCAGATAGATACTTCGCGCGCGGAGGAAGTTGAAACGCCCGGCAGAAAGTTGCCCCTCGACGATGCAAATGTTGCCTCGCAACGACGCGCCCGCCTCGACGGCGGAGTGGCGTCTTGGAAACTACGCTCGGAAGAATTCGATTCCAGAATGCAGATTACTTCGTGCACACAGGGAAGGAAGTAGAACTAAGAACATGCGCGCTCGGTTGAGACTAGCCGCATGATCATCAGAAAACAAACACGCTTCGTAATTCTAACTCCGAGATATTTTTACTTCGTATCATTTCTCCGTGTCTAATTTTTGACTTAGACATTCAATAAGCATTAGAAATAACACTAGTAATTATAAAAGTGATCTTCAGAAAATGCATCTTCTTTCTCTATCGATCGTTCAAGATGCAACTGATATTTCCGTTTAATATATATACATATTTTACATCAAAATACGAGTCTTGCGCATATATGAGGAAGGCATGATCGTATCCAGGGGAAAGTTTGGAGGTTTCAACTCCCCTCGAAATTAAAAAAAAAGTAAAGTTAAAGTTATTAACATTTACAAAAATCTAATCTCTGTCTCATTAAGAATCAGAAATGTTTCTAAGCATTTTATCCTTTATATATAAAAAAATAATTTATTAACGCGACAAATTGTTGTTTATGTGTTAACAGAATTGATAAAAACCCTCCCCCCGAAAAAATCTTGAATCTCTCACGGAGAAAGGTAATCTGAATAGCGTGTAAAATTAATGCGATCTTATACGGATGGTTTTACACGGATGTTCCTGCCGCTGATGATACGATTGTACGAAATGGCAGCCACAAACCTGTCGCTTTTTTTTTAATCGGGACCAAGGAGAGTTCCAGGTGGAAGAAGTCCGCGAGGCTCGTAGCCTCTTTACGATTTCCCCGCGGCACTCCCTACCGACAATCCATACACTTCTTCTTCGTACGTGGAGCCTCTCGTCGGCCACGACTCATACCTGTCCCCTCCTCGTGAAAGCACCTTTACCGTACGTTCTCTCCTGAGATCGTGACGGTAGAAGACCGCACCGCCTTTTAACACCTCGCACATGCTATCGGAGCTTATTACGGGTTTTGAAAACAGGTCACCGTTATTATAGTAGAGAAGAAACGCGGTCTATACAACGGCCGAATGACAGTCCAATCTTACCGTCGCCGACACAATTGACATGCTAAGTTTCATTTTGTCTTTTAGAAAGAGAATCCGACACAAGCTTGCCTGCCTAGAAGATTTACAAGGAGAAACGTGAAATTAGGATCAATCTTATTTCCTAAGACTCTCGTAAGACTTTCATTTTAACACGACAAAATTAATTTTGAAGAAATTGTAATCCAAGTGGAATAACGGAATATCGAGTAGAAAAAGTGCGAAATCAAGTTTACGAACTCTTTAATCGTATCTCGGAATATATATGTATGAATTGCACTGATACAACTTTATTTATTTATAACTGATACTTATATATAAGTGAGGCTACGATCCAAAAAGTGAAGTATAATCGCCAAACGAGTTGCTTAACAAAGATAGATAATTAATTTATATTATCTGAGTTTGGCTATTTGTCAAGACACTTTAGATTTGTCTTAAATTTATCTTCCACTCATTTTATTATGTTACCATTATTTATCAGATGCTTAGTCTGTCGTAATATCTGTTGCAATCGCCCAAAAAAAATCGCCCAAAAAAAGATTCGACGATTTTTAGTGTTCATGATCATTATCGATCATATCGATCAAGTTCACGCATCGAAATTCAACGGTTGATTATTGGCAACAATACTATGTACGCGAATATAAAGAATTGTTTATGACATGTTATTCTCCATTGGTCGATCATCCCTAATCAGTAATCACGCAAATCGAACATACATCGCGTTTATCGTTA